AGACCAGTGCTGAAGCATTGCAAACTTTTTGTAGTAAACTTTTTGATCAATCTATTTTGTCTTTATTGACTGATACAAACAATATGAGATCAGTCATGACTTTTTGTGATTTCCTTCATTTTGTTGGGGGAAAGAGACGTGGCTTACTCAAGACATATCAAGGTACACTTAAAACAGCAAGGTATTTTTATGGATGAGTTTTTTGCATTAAAAAAATAGTTATCCTTGCCAGCTAAACAAAAAATGGTTTTTGAGGGAGCCAACGGTTTATTCCTTCAGCAAAGTACAATACAAAGCCTTCAGCAGAAGTGCACCAAGAAAACAGGCTTCCTTCCATTCCTCTTTGTAGTTCACCTGGAAGAGTTTGAAATTTGTTGCTTTGCCTAAGCCAAAAAGAAAGCGACTGTGTTTGAATGTCAGGATAAACCAAACATATTCCCCCGTCCTTCACCTCCTTAAGTGTGGTCATGAAAATAAGCCAGAAAGCTTTGATATCTCTTTTTTTATTAAAATGGTTTGTCATGTCATCCAGAACCAACAATTTAACTGGATCCAGTAAACTACATCTGAGTACTCTGTACCTAGAACACTCTGAAAAGGGAAACTACATCTGAGTACTCTATACCTAGAACACTCTGAAAAGGATTGCTATACACTGGAATTGACTTGATGGCATGCTAATTACTACTATTATAAATCTTAACTTTGGGTCAAATCATGAGTTATGATGCGGATTTGTTCCAATAAATCATAGTTAAGATTAACTACACCTCTGGATCTGGATGTAACACTAAACCATAATTAATCAGAAAAACAAGCAAAAGCTTCCAGCCATGCCAGTAGGAGAAAGGAACTGGTATGTGGGAATCCAAGGTTTGCAGATTTATTCATGTCACAGTAAATTTTGATGTCCTAAGAAAGCCAGAGATTCCATAAAGAGCCAAAAACAAAGATGGGAAAACATCACCCTTCGTTTGAGCTCTCTGTACATTATAGGGTGGCGGGGGAGTGTTAGGCATGACCCAAATCATGGCTGACTAGTAAGGCAAATCCATATTTGTGCATATATGACTACTTACAACTATGTATTGTGACCATTTGAAGTCATTCACCTCAGGTGTTTTGAGAAAAAAATGTAATGTAAAATGCCATTGCTGCTTTTCTAGCTGATTACCAGGAAGCAGAGAGTAGGTGTCAATGGGCAATTTTCACCATGGAGAGAGGTGAAGAGCGGTGAGCCCCAGGGATCTGTTCTGGGACCGGTGCTTTTCAACCTGTTCATAAATGACCTGGAGACAGATAAGCAGTGAGGTGGCCAAGTTTGCAGATGACACAAAACTTTTCCAGGTGGTGAAGACTAGAGATGGGGTATTCATATTTGTATGCAAATACCCCCGCACAGATGGACATAATGAGGGTCCAGCCCCCTGGGGCCAGACGGTCCACTCACTGATCCGCTGCCAGTGCGGGCACTGCAGAGCCTTCCAATCTGAAGATCGCGTTCTGCAAGCCACTCTTCAATCTAGCAGAGAGGCTTGTTGTCCACCTCCTGCCAGAAGTGGCGACCTGAACGCGATCTTCAGAGCCACTGGAAGGCTCTGTGGCGCCTGCGGCAGCAGCAGTTTAGTGAGTGGACCGTCCAGCCCTGGGCAGAAGAAGAGCAGATTGCAAGCTAAGATGCGAGTACTTGGCAATTTTTTTCAGTCTGGGCAGTTCTTGGCCATTCACTCTGGCAAAAGAATATGAATACGAATATTCCCGCACAGGTGGAAATAACAAGGGTCCAGCCCCATAAGGCCAGACTGTCCACTCACGATTTCACCCCTGCCACTGGCTCCACGGCGGCTTCCTATCGCGCTGTTCTCCACAATGGATTAGCCACTCTCCGACCTAGCAGAGAGGCTTGTCATCCCGCCTCCTGCCAGGACTGGATAATCGATTGTGGACAACAGCGCAATAGGAAGGCACCGTGGAGCCGGTGGCAGTAGCAAAATTGTGAGTGGACACTCTGGCCCCATGGAGCTGGACTCTCGTTATTTCCACCTGTGCAGGGACATTTGTATTCATATAAAAATAACCCCATCTCTACTGTGAACTCATTACTAGTATTACACATTACGGGTTTTTCTTTAAATCAATAAATATCACAATAAACAATACTTGGACTGGCTTTTACGTATATATTGTAAAATATGTGTATATTGTAAAGTATGTACAAGTTTATCAGCTGTCTTTTGTTTCCCCAGTTCCATTCCCTGATTTATCAGTTCCAGTCTCCTTTTTCTCCTTAAGGTTATTTGCAGTGATGAAAGACTTACTAGTTTTTTCTTCTGTTTTGAGCCGTCTTTGTACACAAGAACGACAGCAGTCTTGAATACTAGAAAGGAATCAAAACATTCAGAAAATAAGTACTTCACTGGGCAGAATAAGAGCAGATTGCAGGCTAAGATGCAAGTACTTGGCAATTTTTTCAGTCTGTGCAGTTCTTGGTCATTCACTCTGGCAAAAGAATTCCTTCCGCATCCCCACCCATGGGACCCCCATGGAGATTGATAGATTACCCAGAACAGTGAAGTGGAGAAATGCTAAGGGCTAATTCCCTCTATTTCTGATGGATTTTGTGCACGAGATTAAGTGTGAACTCTCCAAACTGCTTGTCTGCTTGTGCCTCAAGCCTTTTCCTCTATAGGATTTTTGTACGTTTTTGCTGCTCTTTTCAATTTCAGGCTCTCCATTTCAAATTATTGTGTTAGTATCAGAGCCTGAATGTGACAAGAGTTGCCAATACACAATCTTGTGGAGAAGGGCAGTAATTTCAAAGAAACTGTACATAGACTTTCAGAGGATGAAACTAAGGACATTTTGCTGGCCCGGAAATCCTAGGGGAGAGAAGAAAAAATGAAGAAAAGCTTGTACAAAGCTGTAGAACTGAGAAGCATATAGATTAACAACTCTAGTGCAGGCATTAGCTTTATATTAAGAGTCTTACAGGTACTTAATGTAATTATTGTCAAATCACTTATTGTCAGAGTAATTCCATTTATTTTATTTACTCTGAAGCAGTCTAATGACTGCCAGTTGATTTTCTTGACTGAATAAGGTTTAAAAAAACAATTAGCACAACAGTAATTCATAGTGAGTGACTGATTTGCAGCATTTTTAAAATCTAAAGTAGAGGCCATCCGCCAGGAGCTTGATCCCTTTTTACAGACAGTAGATCAAGCTGTGATGTCCAGTGAATCATCTTGCTTGGCGAGGTTAACTTGCTTTCAACCTGTGACGTCCAATGAGGTGGACAGAGTGCTTGGGCGCTGTCGTGCCACCTCCTCCTCTTTAGACCCTTGTCCGGCCTGGCTCATCAAAGCAGCCAGGCTGGTAACAACAGAATTTTTGTTGTGTCCGACTCTTTGTGACCCCATGGACGACAGCAAACCAGGACTTCCTGTCTTCCACTGCCTCACGGAGTTTGGTCAAGTTCATGGGCCACCACAATAATTAATGTGTCTCTCCAGGAGAGCAATGTTCCCCCTGTCCTCAAGGAGACACTCATTAGGCCTATTTGAAAGAAACCTAATTTGGTAGCGGATGAAACTGGGAATTATAGGCCCGTCCTCAATGTTTCTTTCTTAAGTAAAGTGGTCACGGTGGCCGATCAGCTCCAGGCCCTTCTGGAGGAAACTGATGCCCTTGATCCATTCCAGTCGGGCTTTAGGCCATAGCATGGTACAGAAACAGCATTGGTCGCCCTGCAGGATGACCTCCTGAGGGAGGCCAACAGGGGCAATATGTCACTGTTGGTCCTCCTCGATATCTCAGCAGCCTTTGATACCATCAACCACGGTATCCTCCTGGGGCAGCTCTCCAAGTTCAGGAATCAGTGGCCTCGTTTTGGTATGGCTCTGTTCCTTCTTGGAGGACTGTCCCCAGAGTGCAGCTTGGCGAGATGACTTCCACCCTGTGGATCCTCAATTGTGGGGTTCCGCAGGGGTTGATCATCTCGCCAATGCTATGTAATATCTTTATGAGGTCGCCCAGTTCTACTTCTCCTTTTTTCCTACTGCAGTGGATGCTGTTCCTACGCTTGAACACTGCTTGAGGACCGTTCTGGAGTGGATGAGGGCAAATGGACTGAGGTTCAATCCGGACAAGACAGAAATCTTGCGTGTGGGTGGCCCTGGCATCAGTGGGTTGGGAAAATCCCTCTCCTTTGGGGGAGTGACTCTTCCCACAAAGAGTGAGGTCCGCAACCTGGGGATCTGCGTGGACCTGGATCTCACCATGGAAACCCAGGTGGCATCTGTGGTCCAGGCAGCCCATTTCGATCTTTGGAGGATTGCCTAGCTGGATGTGGTGGCACTCACTACGCTGATTCATGCCCTCGTAATCTCAAGAATAGATTACTGCAGTAACATTCAAAGCCCTAAATGGTTTAGGACCTTGGTACCTATCGGATGTGGTGTTAAACTGCAGAAGCCTCTGTGCTGCAAGGTCAGAAGACCAGCAGTCATAAGATTGAATTCACGTGACGGAGTGAACTCCTGTCGCTTGTCCCAGCTCCTGCAAACCTAGCAGTTCGAAAGCATGTAAATGCGAGTAGATAAATAGGTACCACCATGGTGGGAAGGTAATGGCGTTCTGTGTCTAGTCATGCTGGCCACGTGACCATAGAAACTGTCTACAGACAAACGCTGGCTCTACGGCTTGGAGACAGGGATGAGCACCGTGCCCCAGAGTTGGACATGACTCGGTTAAATGTCAAGGGGAGCCTTTACCTATCGGAACGCCTGCTCCCAGCTAGATTTGTCTGTAATACCCTTCACAGGCAGGGCAATTGAGAGCCTTGACCCTGAAGGAGGCCCAGAGGGAAAGAACAAGAAACTGGGCCTTCTCGGTGGTCACCCCCTGCCTATGGAACAACCTGCCTATTGAGATCCTCCTGGCACCCTCGCTGGATGGATTCAAAAGAGCATTGAAGACCAGACTCTTCCACCAGGCTTTCCTGGAGCATTAAGATCCGAGCCTCCCTTTTACCATCCTTTTTGCCATTCTCTCCATCACCCCTTTTTACCACCTTCATCACCATCTGTTTTAGTTTACCCTATTTGATTATGTATTAATTTTTTATGTGTTTTAATATTTTTGCTGCTATTGTTGTTAGCTGCCCAGAGTGGCCTGGTTGCCAGATGGTGCGGTATATAAATTCAATAAATAAACAAATAGAATAGATTTAAAATGGACAAAATTCAACTAATGAATTTTCAAAGTTCAAAGCCAATACATTATTTCAAAGAGCATTTTTGTAAAAAAGAAAGAAAATCCATACTGCTAATCATATTAAATTGTCATGTATTCTTAGTTCCTCTGCAAGCAATTAACTTTGTCACACTGCTGTGCTTAAAAAAATAAACTGCAGCAAAATGTACATATGTAGGCTAATAGTTCTAATGGATTTATATTTAAGATGGAAGGAAGAACCAACTGGCAGAATCCAGTGGAGTTCTTTCGATACAATTGTGGCATTTCCCCCAGGGGAGGAGGGCGGTTAAGAAGGTCTACATTAAGTTGATTTAAAATCTGCTGTGATACTGCAAATATACAGCAAGGGCCAGATGTGTGTGCCTTCGGTATAAATAGCACAAGGAAGTTTTCAAACATAGACATACTGATTCACTCCAAAAGATAGCCTTAGAGTATGTTTCTCTTGTCCTCTTCCTCATTTACAGGTAAGTGTAAAAAACAGGATGAATGGAGAAATGCCAAATCAATACCTCTAGGTTTTCATCTCCCAGCAGAGGAAATACTGCTTGCATAGGCAGTCTTTAATTTAAAGAGTTCCCATAAATCAGAAGTGACTTGTGATAGCACATAACAACCTGGAAGATCATAACTTAGTTTGCAATTGTTTGAATGGAAACAATTGTTGCTATATTTAAAATTCTAAATTCAACAATTCTGGGCAAGGTGGGGGGACATACCAAATGCTGCCAATTCAGGTTCCTTTTTCCACTTCCCAAGTGATGCAGGAGGATTAAGCCAGATGACTGTAGTATGCAACAGCAAGTCTCCCATAGAAAGGTCTGCAACCTGCCAGCCAGAAAACATAAAACAAGAAATGTGTTATTTAAAACAAAAATGTGTCTCAGCAGTAAGTGGCTGGATTAGCAGATCAGACAGATGATTGCAGACATGCTGATATTCTTTACAAGTCTAAGCAAAAGATACAATTCTGTTTTCTTTGTTCATGCAGAGTGCAGAAATCACAGTGAATGACAACATATGCGACTTCTGTACTCTGCATAAACAAAGAAGACTTTCAGGGCGACGTTACACAGTTCTGTTCAGAAGTGCCAATGGGTTCAGTAAGATTAACAAGCACAAAAAGACTGAGAAACGACAAAATTTTCACATGTCGCACTGATGGCAACATGCACATCTGGAAAAAGACATTCCGTGGGGAGGATCGCGTACCCAAATCTCTCTCTCTCTTTCCTCACCACCCGAGAAGAGCTGTGGATGTAAGGCACAGATGAAGGGTTACGGGAGAGGTGAGTGAGCTGGATCCTAAACTCTGGAAGGCTTAAATAAATAAGAAGCCAATGGAGTTCTTTCAGTACAACTGTGGTACCACCTCCCCCATGGGAGGGGGGGCAATGAGATACAAATATAATAAATAAAAAATACTATCAGCACTAGAGATACACGGCTTTCCTGAAACAATGAGAATAGCTTCCAAATGATCAAAAACAACCCTCTTACCTCTTTTTTGTCTCCTGTTTGTTCTGCAATGAGCTGGTCAAACACAGCACCATATTCTTCATGGATTTTTTGCATTTCATTAATATGGCTAGCAACTTTATTCATTGTTTTTATGGCCACTGGAAGAAAAGCAAGGAACCAGAAAACAATTTGAAAGAGATAAATGACTACATTTATCATGATTTAAAAGTATTGTTGTTTTTATTAAAAAGTGCATTATAGTTTAAATTATAGGTGACTCTTGACCAGACAGGACCACTCTTCCTGCTCTGGTCCACAAGCCACTCCCAATTTAGACAGTAATCTCCTTAGGTCCATTACGCATCATGATGTATATTTTGTAATGGTCAGAAGCAGGCGGATATTATTTACCTCATTCCTTTCTTCATTCTGCACTATGCTGATCACATGGTGATCAGTGTGGGTGTTTATTGATACTGAACCTCATCAGGAAAGTACAGCAAGTGGGATTGTCTGCCTTACAGTTTCCATGATCCTGGGTGCTGTGCACTACTTTTTTTAAATGAATCTTCTCCACTTGCACAGGAAAACAAAGATTGTTATAGAACAGCACATGCTTGAGTAAACCTCATTGTCCGATCAATAATGCACGGACAACTGAATGTTCTACATGTGTTGAAGCAATTGCATGGCAACCCAAGGGTGTGTGTGGCAATTACTGAACAAAGTCTTCTATTTTGGTCTCACATCTGCACTCATAGAGGAATAAACTTCCCCAACATAATCCCAAAAGAGATACAACAGGCCTTTCATCCACATCACAAACATAGCTGAAAGTACATAAACAGGACAAACATTGGAAAGGAAAAAAATCTTCACATGTTAAAAGCAAAAATAGGTCCTTGGGTTTCCATTGTGTGTTAAGCTCATTTTTTCCTGTACGATTTGAAGTGCACAATTATCCCTTTTCCTCTACTTCACACCAACAGGAATTGATTTAAGGTTCAAGTACATACTTTCCACATATATGAATTTCTTTCAAATGTTCCTGATGTTGGTGACCTTGTAGAAGATTGTGATATGTGATCTACAGGAATATTTGTAATAACAAAACAGGACACATGCTAAGCCATTTTCTTTTTTCACACAGAGCAACAGCTTACCGTCAAGATGATAGTGTTCCTCACTCTCTGCATCAGTGAGGGCAAAGAGTTCTTTCAGTAGAAGAGGATACTTCAATATCCTCTGAATGGGTTTGATGAGGTATGACTCTAATGTTGACGAGTGCTGTCGTCTAGGATTCTGGGCATCCAAGAAAGCCTTAAATGCTGTGTCCGTCTTAGCTAGATGATAGAAAATAGAAAGGAACCTTCAAGATACGATGAAAACATTTGACATTTATTACAGGTTATTTATTTATCACATTACTTAGCTGTTTTCTGCCTGAAGATATTCTCTGTTTGCCATCTACGATATACCAATTTACAATAAAACCAATACTGTCAAAGAGGCCATTTTAAGCTACAGCCACCACATATTATCTGCAGTGTGACAGACTTAATCTATTTCCATTCAACAAGAGAATGTGAAGGAGTTTGAACAAAATAAAATGAGAAAACAGATAGAATGACAATACTGTACTTAGAAAGCAAACAAGATACTTTCACTACAGGAATACTAACAACATGTTTGATATTAACAGGGCTATAATGGAATTGAGGAGATGCACTAGGTTTATACAGGAAGATATTTGTGTAAATGTGTATGTATGAACTGCATTTTTAAAACTTCCATATAGAAGACACAGGAAAAGAATCCTGAAGTTCACAGCATTCAAACATTGTGGCTGCAGCTTCCTGCACAGTTAACCACACCAGGCTTCTTCTCTTCCTAAGGCATGTCCCAGGAACAGTGAAGCGGTGCGACTCAGTGACAACAC